TTTTTTTATGAGAATTAATGACCACTTAGTAACCAAATTTACTTTTTATCACTAAAATTCATATTAGTGATACAAAAGTAATGATGACCTATATATGTCATCGTCACTAATCTCATAGTTAGTGACCATAATATAAATTACTCACTAAAATTCTGATAACTAACTAGACTCTTTCTCGTAGTGTCTTAGGGTTTGATCTTATTTGCGAATTTAAACAACACCAAGTTAAAGCAAATTCAAATAAATTTGTAATATTTATTTTTCCACAAATGGAATAAACAACGTTTAAAAGGAAAATAAACAACGTTTAAAAGAAAAAAAAAGCATAACAATTACCATCAAAACGAAAAAGTAAGAAAACACATGTTGTAAATAATTTAGAAACACGTGACTATATATATACCCTAGTTTTTATAAGTAGAATATTGTGTTTTTTGGATGTGATATATTCTTCATTTGAGTGGCAACTATATAAGACAACATCTCTCCTTCCCTCCCCTCTCATCATCATATCCACCAAATTTTGTAAACCGTACAATTTCTTGTGCTTCAGTTCATCATGACAAAGGTGTACCCCACTCCCATCACTTCGGTTGTTGTTTCGCCACCCAAATCCTCTGCTGCCAGTAAGAATCCGGTGGTCTTCACTGTTTGGAAGAAGTCTCTACTCTTCAATTACGATGGATTTCCAGTGTTCGACTCCAACGGCAATCTTGTATTTCGAGTAGACAACTATGTCACCGGAGGGAATGGTGAAATTGTTCTCATGGATGCGTTCGGCCGCTCTGTCGTCACTATTGGCCGCAAGGTACGTATATCTCGTCATGCATGTTCATCAAATTATGATTTACAGACACAAATTTGTTCCAAGTTAATTGGATTCCATATTGATTAACCAAATATTTTGTTATTACCAGAGGATAAGTCTTTCGGACACCTGGCAAGTGCATGATGGAGAAACAACGCTTGTTCCACGGTTTTCAGTCACGAAACACATGAACATTTTCAACACCAAGTCCCTAGCTTACGTTTGCAAAGAAGGATCGTCAAAGAACAACGACACGAGAATCCCGATGTATGAGATCGATGGATCATATGCTCAAAGGTGTTGCATCGTATATGATGATATGCGACGGAATGTTGCTGAGATCAGGAGCAAGGAAGCCAAGGGAGGTACTGTTGCTCTTGGCGTAGATGTTTTCCGTTTGGTTATGCAACCTTCAATCGATCCAGCTGTCGCTATGGCTCTTATCGTCGTCCTCGATCAGATGTTCGGTTCGTCTAGACGTGTTTTTTAAGCTTACGGGAGACTGGAAATATTAGAAAGAGTTGTTAGCTGTAGTTTTTTCTTTTGATAAATAGATATATATGTCAACTTGTGGGGGGTTAACGATCATTCCTTGGATATAGTCTCGGATCATATTTAATCCAACTGACAATGGACAAGTCTTAACGGTCATTGTTATWTCAGGAAACTAGAGTTTGTTGGGTTTCGAGAAAAAACTATATTTGGGTCTTGGGAGAACATACKATTTTTTGTCAACCATAAACTAATTTATAAGATAACGTTTCGAAAACTATTTTAGATGAGGTTTTCATAAGTTTCAGTTGATTTGTTTTTATGTTGCCTCTTATAATATATTTATTTCTTCTTTCAATCTTATCTCGTATATCTCCCTAACCTACAACAATTAAAATGAATAATACAATGTGGGAACCATTGATGAAATAAAGGAAGATGAAATCAAAATAAATAGCAAGAGAAGATCTTAACATGCATGAAACCGACATTAAACTATCCTTGATTCTTATGATTTGTTGTGAAAATCCAACAGCAAAATTAAGTGGCTTTAGTTGGACCATCTTCATTAGTGATCAAAATATTACTAACGACTTATATTTTGGTCATTAACTGTGACGATAGTGACGATAAAAAAGGTTGCACTAATCTTTGGTCACTAATATGAACTTTAGTACCAAAAAATAAATTTGGTCACTAAGTGGTCACTAGTTCTCATGCAAAAAAAAAAATGATTTTTCATATCAATCTATTTTAATAACTAAATTTGTGACGACCATATTTTTCATCATAATTTTATAAATTCATACGTTTAGTGACCAAAATAATGGTCACTGAGTTAAAAGGTTTGGTGACCAAAAGATCATGGTCATTAAGTTGAACGTTTTAGAGAAAAAAACAAAATAGTCACAAATTTGAAATGATTAGTGACCAAAATAGTGGTCACTAACTAGTTGATGTTACTTTTGAATGTTAGTGACAAAAAATAGTGGTCACTAAGTTGGAAGTTTAGTGACCAAAAATAGTGATCA